GGTAACAATTCGAGATGCTTGGAGAAAACATAGAAGTGATTTAAAAAATAATTATTATGATCCATATGACACTGATGCAGTTCGAATGACAAAAAAGCCTGGTCATATTCCAAAATGTCAATTTAGAGAGCTTCTCAAATATTCAAAATATGAAAAATTCAAGGTAAAAGTGTAATTCAGAATCTCAATTTTTTTCTGAATAAGTAGCATTTGTATTATACCTCCTGTTGCTCCCTTTCCAGCTTCTTCCCACCTAGTGACCTCTGACACTTCAAAACTATTAGATAAAATAATACCTCTTTTTCCAGTAACATCTTTGTGTCTAGCATGTTTAGATATTTCATCTAATATAGCTGATCTTCTCCATCATCTTCTTCAACAACAAAGTTGTCAAAAGAAAATGACTTGTGTACACAATAAAGAAGTTGAAAAAATGGCCGTTTACATGTGCATTTTGTAACTGAAACAAAGAAGATGATGGAACTATTAAAAGTTCTATTCTCTGCGCAAAAACACGCATTAACAAACTCTTCTTACCTATATGATTTGTGGCCAATTGCAGCTTTATGTTGTCTGAAACAAATGCAGAAAATGCAGTTCTTACCTATATCAACATCATTGCTTCAGTTTTTCTTTGCAGAAAATGTCTGAAACAAATGCAAAGAATCGAAAAAAACATATGAATCCACAAACTGCTGGCAAAAAGAGTTTCGCTTTAGTTCGTAATAAGCTGCTGTGTTTCTCTTATATATAATTTTTTTAATAAAATTTTGGGGCTTTTTATCCCAGTGTAAGTGTATTTTGGATATACATTTCAATGTGACTAGGAAAAAGATAAGGAGACGGTTTGTTCTAAGGATATCTTTGTGGTTACAAGAACAAGACAACCCGGGCGTTTGTACAAGTCTTCATATTAAGATACTACTAGTAAAATTTTATGTGCACCGTCTATTTTCAATTTTTTTATTGAGATCAATTATATATTTCATATTGTGTTTATTGGATATGTTTTGGTAGGCTAAAATGGAGGAAATTGAAAATTAAATAAGCATAAATGGTGAGTATATTGATGCATTGTCAAGCGTCATGGGTTCTGAACATCCAGGACGTCTAAGACTGCATGGCGCAGGAGTTACAATGACTAGTTTGAAAACGAAGATGGCAATTCAGAATCAATTTTAAGTGCAACAACTGATTGAATGCATCAAATGCAAGAAAGTATGGAGAAAATGGAGATACAACTTGAGGAACAAAAGAAAATTGTGCGACAAGAAGTTACTGCAAATGTTATTGCACAACTTAAGCTTGCGAGATTAATTGATCCTAACATGTTGGCAGCATTGTTGGCTCCTTCACCAAGAGAATCTACTTCTATTCAAGGGGCTGAACAAGGTTGTTGTCGCTAATTCTATGTTTTGATTGTTATTTGTTGTTGCTACTTGCAATAGGATTAGAATGGAAAAGTATGCTATTGATCTAAGGAAGTTGGGGCAAAGTGGTGTAGAGGATAAGTAAATGCCTGATTCGTGAGTTTAATGTCTCAGTTGCTGCTTGTTCTCTGGTAGTTTAATGTCTGAGTTGCTGCTTGTAGTCTGATTCAAGAGTTTTCTGGTTCTGCTTGTAGCCTAGTAGAGGACCAGTTGTTAGATTCATGATTTTTTTTATACTTGTTGCTTGTAGTTTTGTTTCTTATGGTTTCTTTTTTATGCTAATTAAACGTGACTCTTGTAGCATGAAAATGTTGAATCATGATAGTGTTGTTTCTACTGCTTGTAGTATGGTCTCTTGTTTCTGCTTTTTGTTTCTTGTAGCATGATAGTGTGGAATCCTAGCTTCACAATTATGTTTAGTCGAGCCAACATAGTAGCTAATGCATGTTACTGCATGTAGTCTGGTCTCTTGTTTCTGTTGCTGCTTGTAGAAGTTTGAATGCAACAATCTAATGTTATTGGCGTGCACTTGATTTCTAAGTTTTAGGGCTGAACAATTGTAAAAGCTCATGCATGGTTGTAACTACATATATACTTGTTAATTTCTAAGTTTTGAGGTTTGCTAAATTATTTATATTTTTTTCTGATTGTATGTAGGTGATGAAATCGAAGAAGGCGATAAAAGAAGTAGCGAAGACTTGACATAGAGATGAAGTATTGATGTAAACTTTATTGATGTTCTAGAAATCATATATATTTGAAGATTGAAAATTCTATGGCATGTGTTTCACCTTTTTTGAATGCTATAAAAAGATATGTATATTTTGCTTTTATGGATATTAGAATCACGGATCTTGAATCCTAATTTTTGTAATGAACATTTATTCTCATTAATGATTTATGTTTATTTTTATGTTATAAAATTTATTCTCGTGAATGATTTAGTATAGAGTATGTTTATATAGCTTACTAATATTGCATTAGAATTGTTGCAAATTGCAGGTAATAATTGTGGCAATAGGCATTAAGCAACAGTTCTACAATTGTTTGAAAGTGTTGCAATACCGTATAATAACCGTCACAATAGAGTGAAACGTTGTGTTGAATCGAAAGAAAAATTGAATTCGTAGCCTTAACAAAACTAATGCATAAACCCTCTATTACGATTGTTAAAAACCATACCAATACGGCCATAACCATTAAAAATTAATCAAAATGACAACCGTGGCAATAGCTCAACGTATGTTTGTGGTTATATGACCCGTCGCACAAAACCGTAACAACAGAGCTATTGCTACGCAATCTGTTGTAGCGGTTGACGTAACTTTAGCTTAGACATATGGCTACAGTTGTAACGTCTATTGTAGCGGTAGGTGAACCGTGATAGTAGACCAAATTTCTAGTAGCGATGTTGTTACTTTTATTATCACGTAAACCCTTTTGGTGATACTTTTGAAATCCTTTGTGCAATTATTTTCATACAACGACTTCAAAATTTAATGTATGTCCAAGTATATTTTAAGCGACAACTGAGAAGATAAGTTATGGTTTCAAATGTATTGTTTTTTCATGGAGAAAAGTAATTCTATTTTAAGAAGATCATATTTAGTTTTTCATAAGAATTTTTAGTCTAAAGATTCGTAATCCTTTAAAGATTTACTTTTTAGTAATAACTCAATCTAATGAGTATTATTATATGAGCATTAATACATATGTTTTGGTAATATCATTGAGCACTGATTTAGATAAGAGTTAGGAAAAATTAAACCCAATAACTTGCGCCATAAGTATAGATAGGATCGTACTGTAATTCGGGTGACTCTTCACCAGTGTCAAGAGGGCCTTAAGACAGATCCTAAATTTAAGTTTCCTCCTATATCCCTTGAAGGTATAGGCTGGTTCTGCCAACCTGGATAAGACGTTGTATCATCGCGAAACTCTTAATGATAGTTATTAGTTAGAGAAACTCCACAAGAAAGTAAATTATTTTGCTATCATTGCAGACCTATTTGTAAAGCTTTTAATGATTTCATTTCATAATTCATGCTTTACTTCTATGTTAGTCAGCCATTTAGTTCTTTTAATTTAATTGGATACACTATATTCTTCTCAACCAAGATATATCCACACTTTATAAACTTGTTGGTTACATTGATTTTAGGGTCTGTCGTTTTGGATTATTGTATTTTGAATTTTTTTAATTCAATTATATGCATCATGTATCACTTATATTTTTTTATGTGAAAAAATTATCATCACCAAATAAATCACTCAACCATAACCATATATTCAGATCTCAAACAAGAAATGCTATGTGTACAATCTAAGATAAAACATAAATATTCTGTATACCAGACAAATGATTCAACCATCACCATAGATTAAGATCTCAAAAAAGAAATATTAAGTAAAGTGTTGACACCTAATTTTGGACCTTTATTATTACTATGAAAAATAGCGACTTTTATGAATGGTTTTGACCTTTCCGTTTTAATATTTCAACGAGTTGCAATAATAAGCATTTGTTCACACTATGGTTTGTTGCCCATAAATTATAGGGGTTTAATGTCACTATTATTTGTAGTTTTGTTCCGCTATGGGCTAGTTCAATTCAAATATATTAATTAAGTTTCTTATTAAGTTTGTTTCAGTCCTCAAAGTTTTCTTTCCTCATATTTCATGAAGCTTAAACTTTACTATAAGTCATACACATTCATGTAATTATAGAAATTTCTTTTAGCTATATAGGTGACATTTTTTAAACTTTGTTAAAAATTCAAACAAGAAAGAGTGAAAATTGATCTTCTGTATTGGCCGTTTTTACAGGATTTTATTTATATAAATAAAGAAAATTAATTTTATCATCAATGCGACATAACTACTCTTGTTCCATTCATGTCCATCACTCATAACATAGTTGAAATGATTGAATTAATTACATTTGGTTCTTTAGTAAACAAAACTTTTATTTCTACCACTATTATTTGTAGGTTTTTTTCACTATTGGGGTGTCGAAATGAATACATGAATTAACCTTCTTATGAACTGTTTTCATTCCTCAAAGCTTTCTTCCTCCTATTTGATGAAGATTAATCTTTTATTTTTAGTCATAGTGATTCACGTATATATTGCAATTTCTTTTTGTTAATTTTGTGACTTTTTAAAACTTTTTTAATTAAATTGGTGAACTGTAAACTTGGATGCAGCCCGCCCGAAATTATTTTTGAAAATTTTGCTAAGCAACATGTCTTTTTCTTCCATATTGTTAAGAAATAAAGGTCATCCTTGTAATTATTTGTGGATATTTGTGTGTTCAAGTTTTCACATAATTATGTTGTAAGATATCAATATGTTATGTGTCATGGTTTATAATATCCAATTATGAACAGTTCAATTTGGGTAACACCTACTGCTTGGATCATAATTGCATTAATTATATGTAACTGCATACTTGTCACGCATTGAGCGTACACCCTGGGCAGGATTGACACTCCTTTACCATTGCTGGCCTCGAACAGAACCTTGGCCTGACTTACTTAACTCAACAAAAGACAACGATGACACTTATAATTATAAAAGAACTTATCTAAACTGAATAATAAACTAATTGGGAATGTCTTAATGATTTAAACATTCAACTTGGCCAAAATTGCAACCGAAGTCTTCAACATAAGAATGGAAATGTAAAAACTACTGAACTATTATATGTCTATGAAGACTCTAAAAGTCTGAGATTGATGTTTGGACAAACCCCACAACATCAACGGTGCAAGGAGGCTCACCAACTGACTCTAGAGTTCTCAATTGGATCAACGGTGCTTGGATGCTGATCCTCATTACTACGTCTGTATCATAATACAATGCAGCCAAATGTCATCAGTTCATTCTATATACGAGTACGCGAGTTGGAATGCTAATAGAACATAGGATAGAAAGAGATTTTGAAAGAAAACTTACATTGAATATTCTCAATTCATGAATACTTACCAAACTCCTTTTATTATAATGAAGGTTTAAACACGTGCAAAATAAACAATAACTATTTAATAACATTCTTAAACATTGTGTGTATGCAAAGATACAAGAAACTCTGAGATGTGTATAAACGTACAATGGAATAATAAATATAAAATAAAATAACTGATATGGGAGTTTCTCTAATCGACAACCATCACCTAAGAGCTATAGTGATGATACAACGATGTACCTCATGTTGCTTGCGCATCCTATACCCGGCCAAAGGTGTAAGACCTTAACTGCCTAATGCATCCACTAGTCTATTGTGAAAAATGTTTATCTAAAAAGTATGACCCTTTTCTACAAGTGATGGCTACATGGTTTAGGGGGATTTGAGTTGTCTGAACTCTCCGTCATATCGATTCTCACTACTACTCCCAAAATATACAGGCTTTTATGTTTCTTAAATATACTGACTTTGGTGGTTTGATATTAGTGCTCAAAAAACATAGCCCAAGGCTATCTTGGAAATCTCAGTATCCCTACTTGCAGCGTTTAGAAAGCTATTGCTCTTTTCTAAAAACTAGCCCGAATGCTCTTTGGAGATCTCAGTTTCCATTCTTGTTGAAATGTGAAAACAATTCTTTCAAACCTCTTTGGTAATATATAGTCTCCATATACTTGTTTGAAGAAATAATTTCAAACTTCACTCTTTATTAAACATAAAATATAAGTCTTAAAATAATTTTAAAATGGTTGTAAAAGACTTATGACAACTTTAAATGACTCCTCTTATTTAACTCTTATTTTCTCTTAACTTTACTCTTAAATGATCCTTGAATTGAATTATGGAATTCATGGATTAAGTTTACTATTTAAAAAATAATCATAATGTTTAGGAATGATTCTAGATAGCTAAACATGAAAAAAAAATCTGGAAATCAATATTTGGAGGTAGGTTCGTGACGTGCAGGTTTTTTTAAATATTTTTTCTGAGAACGTCTTTTGAGAGAGAACACTATATGTCAGCTCCGCGACGATCAACTGAATTTTTGATTCATGGCATAGGTCGCCAAATGCGCTCCCATGTCAAAATTTCGCTCATCCATGTTACTACTTCTTTTTTCTCCCCTTATTCATCAAAACTCGGTTCGTTTTCCTAAATAACTTTTACATACAGACACCCAAAAAATGTACCTAAGAACATAACCCAAAATGACCCCATAATGCGATGAAACAAACACAAAAACTTTACCACTAAGGTAGTTCAAGATTAGCATATAAAATCAACAAGTAGGCATCAATCTCATCAATATTTAATGCTTTTATGATGAATCCAAACAGAAATATTATATTTGTCACGTAGGAGATCCAATATTATGAGAGCCTCATATACCTTGATAGGGATCACGCTCGATGAATTCCATTCATAAAGCTAGACGTTCTTGGTGAATTCTTAACTTATATCCCTTTCTTTCTTCTTTTCTTTGTTCTCCAAGCCCTAAGAGTAATTATGATTTTTCCGAAGTGATCTAATACTTATTTTTATCCCTATAAACCTCTAAAAAGAAATAGAAAATTAATTGGTTAAAAGACTAGTTTTCCCTACCATAAATCCAGATTGGGAATTTCCCCAATCCAAAAACCCAACTCCAGAAGGGCATAACTCAGTCATAAAATAGCAAAATCGCACAAAGTAGGTGGAGTTAGAAATATCATTCCAATGGATTTCCAACCAAATCAATAAATACCTATAACATATTATGAGCTATAACTTATGCCATTTGAAAATGGCCAAAACTAACTTTCTTAACTTAGACATTTTTTCTAGATTTTTCTTTTTTCTTTTTCCAAATATGATTAGTTTTAGTTTTTTAGATATTTCAAGTTGCCAGATGTCACAATACTATAACCATGGCAAAACTATGGTTCAATTACAAATAAATTCGAGTCGGTGATATAAAAGTTAAGCAATAGCAATGACTATTATGAGACAATGAGAAAAACCATTTATGATACCGATTATTTTAGAGTCATTTTTAACATATCCATTATATGACAAACTATAATAAAAAGATATTAAAGGAGGTTAATAAGAAAGGATCCGAACGTCCTCCATTTGAATTTAGTTATTTATGTTTATGTATGAACGTAATGTTCCATTTTACCTGGGAATGTTATTGTTTTAGGCCTTTTGGTCTCTTCTTTAATGTATGATGTTGTTCTTTAAAATTTCTTGGAATTTAGAAAATTTTATTATTTCTGACACACTATATTCATGGATATTTTCAACGACTTCTTTATTCTTTCTTATACAAAAATCTCTCTATGAATCATGTTTTTATATGACATAAACAAATATTTTAAAAAAATATAGTCTTTTATTATTTCAAAGAACGCTTTGCCTTACAAAAATATTGACAATGTAGCGTGTGTATCAAAAATATGAATATTACAAATGAGCATATGTAGTCTTCATAAAATAGATCAATCTCGTGTGAACCACAAGTAATATTCCTAGTATATATATTAAGGGGAGCCCTAAGCCCACCTACGTGGTGCTCCAAAAAATCAGGATTCCCTTTTGTTTCATTTTATTCCAAAAATTACTCTTCCCCTTTCATGAAAAGTTGTGCATTTTATGAAAAGTTCTGCCTTTTTATGAGAGGTTGTAACCTTTTCGAAGGGTTGTAACTTTTCCTAAGAGTAGTAACCTTTTTGAAAAGTTGTGACTTTTATGAAGAGTTGTCATTTTTATGAAAAATTGTTACTTTTATTAAAGATTGTGACCTTTTCGAAGGATTCTGACATTTTCAAAGAGTTGTAACCTTTCGATAAGACACAGTAATCATTTGTTCGCTATTCCCTTAGTTGTGTATACACATTGGACTTCCGTCTTATTTTAAAACAACAAAATTTTGAACTACTTCTTCCTCTATTCTTATGGGCAATTAAAGAGTTGTGTACATTGCTCCAGTTGAATGGCTCATTGATACCATTATTTTTGTATCAATGCACTTGTGAATAGAATCTTTATATCTTGAAATGATCTATTCCTTTAAACATCTTTCTAGAGGAGAATAATTTCCTTAAGGGGACATTGTGCATTCAACGGGCTTGAGTTTTTCCATTCAGTTTCATTCTATTTTTGAAGATCTTGGAATACTTTTTACAGTCATTAATTATGAATATATTACTAATTATTGTTATTAGTACATGATTTGAACTTTGTTGTTAACGTTTATGATAAGTTATTGTTATAAGTCATTGTTAGTACATATTCTTTAACAAACATTTATTGGGTATTCACACAAGTTTTCACTACTTAAACAGTTGAAGGTACAATAAAATCCCATTAGTAATCTATAATTTCTTCATCAACAACGTCATTTCTTTACATAAAGGATGTTATTTAGTGTTCTTTAAACTAATCTGACAGTTAATAACCTTGCATATCCATATCTTTTAGTTTTTATGTTGTTGTTTTCTATTTTACTAAATTTTGTCAGTGGATATTATGAGTACATTATGATTGGAAGTTAATTGAAGTGTTAGTTAATTTGTTTTAATATGTTATTAAAAAAATTGGAACTTTTCTGGTTAGAATGATTTGTCATCATCACTGAATATTTCATAGTTTACTCCCTTTCATATATGTTGTTTCCGGTTGTTTTGTTGTTTTCTTAAAATTGTATTGATTATTTTTCATTTGATATGTATATTATCTCACTTGGACACAATTTCCGTTCTTATACTATTTTTTCCCTACTCATACGGATCTTCTAAATACTTTTGGTGTGAGTTATCAATATTTTAGGCAAACATAATTTGAAGATTATTAAGCAAAACCTACTCTAACTAAATGTAATGTCTTAAACTACAAAATATATTTCTATTAAGATAGATTTGTTGTCCTTCATGTCCCAAGTCATTGTTGAGCGTTTGAGTTATCTAGGTTAGACTCATTTTTATTTTTTTAATGTTCAAGAACATTTCTTTTCGTTTAGTGTAAAATTCACCATTTTTATCTACTTGTACTTTGATAATGAAACAATTATAACATACATATCTATGAACAAGTCATAAAGTTCCATTGATGAAACATCTAGAAGGGCTTTCAGAGCAATAGCTTATGAAAGAATATATCTCTAAAAAAATTAACAATATTTTTTTTTATTTCAAATTTATTTTTTTCCTTGAATAAATTTTGTTAGATTAACAAAGTAACAATAACGAAAACAGGTGAATGTTTCACCTCACAAAAGTAGATTGTCCTTAAAAATCATTTATGTTGTTGTGGTGTACATTTATTTACTGTCATAGCTTATTTATATATAATAATGATTATCAAAAACATTAAGGGAGAAAATTAAATTATGTACAAAAATATAAAAAGTGATGTTTAATTGCTACATTAGAACATCACTCAATTTTAACAAGACTATTATATTATCAAACATATGTTATGATAAATCAAAGGGACACAATATATAATGAACCAAGAAAACACTAGCCTTAGGACACTTGACATCTGTGGTCTAAGTAAAATATCCTCAAGCTATTGTTTGTAGACAATATAAACATGGCTGAAAATAAATCTCCTTGGTGATGAATACGAAAACACGAAACTATTTAGAGAATTGACACAAACTTGATGAAGAGAAGTGGTTAACAAAAATGAAGAGAACCAGCGCTTAAAAAGCATTGGAATGTACGTTTTTACAAAGACTTAAAACCATGCCTGCGTCATTAGTCTGATTTCCTTTTTATTATGAGCTGAGGTAGTTTGATTGCACCATCAAGATGTAAAACAATTTTGAACAGGTACTACACATTATGTCAAACAATCACACTTCCATTTAAACTTTCATCAAAATTTACCATAGAGAAACAAAAGTATTGGTGGTGCTACTAATATCCCCTTAAGCTATTGGCGAAAGAAGAGAAACATGGCTGAGAATAAATATACTTTGGCTAAATAGTTAAACACCAAACTATTAAGAGAATTGATAAAAAGAAGTGGGAATTATATATAGGCATCATTGTAATGTTGCTGATATGAGGGTATCTTATCACATTGAGAAAGGAAATGAGGATGGACAATTCATTAGTACTGTGGCATGTTGTTCGGACTTATGGACCTTAATTATGGATGCAGGACTAGGTTCACTTCCTAAATTTATAAGTTGTCAACTGTTTTTCTACACAAGTTCTTTTATAACTTGAATATCATTTTTTTTCAATTTTCTTATATATATATATATATATATATATATATATATATATATATATATATAAATTGTGGAGTAATGGGAGAAGAATTACTAGATATGCGCAATAGAAGTAGCTAATAATGAGAAGTTGGTAGTAGTGAAGTCAAAGAACCTTTATTAACGAGAGCTCTCATTATTAGCTCATGGTATTGCGCTAATATAGTAATGCTTTTCCATTAATCCATAATCCACTCCTATATATATATATATATATATATATATATATATATATATATATGTATATACGTGTGTATATGTATATATGTATATATTTATATACATATGTACATATATATACATATACACACGTATAAGGAATGATCAAACAAACCTATAACCAAATTGAAAAAACAGAATGATATTTGAGTTATGAGACCTTGTGAAGAAACTCAGGTGAAAACTTCTATAAACATGGTAAGTGAATGGAGTCCCTGTATACCTAATTAAGGCCTACATGTCCGAACAACATGGCTGACTGAGAAAGAATAGTCCATCCTCATTTACTTTTTAAATGTGCTATGCTACCCTTATACCGTCAACATTACAATGATACAAATATCTCACTCCCACTTGAATTAATTAATTCCTCGTTCACCATTATGAAAACAATCATTCATTCTACAAAAAGAATTTTAAACATGAACCTCCTCAATTAAAGGAAAATATCTAGAATGTGTGAAGAACATCAAAATGGTCAATCTCATACAACCTCTAAAAACATTAGTAACAAGACATATTGATATTAGGATAAAATCCCATGTCAAAAAAACCACTTGAAACAAAGATAAGAACTTTAGTAATTGGTATTTACTCAACGGAAAAAAATATACTTGAACAAAAGATAAGAACTTTCATGTGAAATATGTACGCCTGATATGTGAAAGTACGTATATTGTGAGAAACACATTGACCACCATAAACAACGAGGACTCATTCATCCTATATAATAAAGTTGTAAACCTGAAGTAGCTGTAATTTTTATCAACAAGTACGCAAAAATTTAAAATCAAAGCTCCATTTTAGCAATGTGATTCATAGAAAGTTAAATTCAACTCAAAGCAACACTCTACGTAGATATAGAGGACACTTTTAGGGTAATAAAAGGGAAATCGTCCATCTTAATGCCTAACAAAGGTAGAGAGACTGTTAGTAATTTTTTTACGAGTCTATTACTAACAAAGACGTTCTTATATGAAGGAATTAAGACCAAGACATCTCCTAAATGCTTCGAATTATAGTTAGGACCATTAAATCACCAATCATATGGAAAATTTATAACTCAAAGCAATGCCTGAACAAACATTTCAACCAAAAAAATTATTATAGAGAAGTTGTACAAGAAAAGCTAGATGTATACTTACTTAAAAGGATATTTAATTACTTCCTCCAACATATATTTAGGATCAATGAGGTTTAGGACTTCCTATGAGGATGTTGTTGATTCTCGAAACCTTGACCACATTGATCATACGCAAGCTACTCAAATTCACGTACAAAACCTTTACCCCATAATCAATCACGACCAAATGCTTAACCTCTAATGATATACATACATAATATAAAACATAATCGATACCTAGATAAAAAATACATCGTTCTTTCCAAAATCAAAACAACTTTGTTATAACATAAAAATTCCATTTCTAGAATTTAAAAGGGAAGCTTTCCCAAGATCGATAACCTTAGGAAAAAAGTCTCTCAACTAATTAGAACCACACAAAAGAATGAGATTCATACTAGCCTAACCTAAATCCCTTTAATTTCCACCCCAACTCTAACCACTTAAAGGGTAATGCATTGTGATTCCAGATATCAAGTTTTTCAGGATTGGATGCATATGAAACGTACTTCACAAGATCAACAAGAAAACAAATCAAAATAATCTCTAAACTCACTAAGATAAATGAAATTGATAATAAAAAAATGGGTGAATGAGTTCAGATTTTGTACTCTGGATGAGCATAGGTGACTTGATCAACGATAAACTGAGGTATGCAAATTTGGTGAAAACAACAAATTGTTTGAACACTATAGAAATTGATACCAAGTCGAATAGTAATGCGTATGACTTAATTTAATTTTTCAGCATTCGCCATCCATTTAAGATAATTAGCAATAAAAGTGTGAAAGAAATTGACTTGATTAACCATTGATTCAGAATTTGGATATAACATAATTTTTTCTTCTTCCCTTTTCTAGCAATGTTTTAAATTTAGTACCATGTTGAAGCAACTCTCAAATTTAGGTTACTCGCGGTTTCTGTTTGATTTTCTCTATTTCAAAATTTCAAGTCAGTCTCCAGTAGTTTATAGACTTGTACATGTTAATAATTATCTATGGTATTATCTATATTTTCTTTTCATTTTCCATGATAAGATTCAGTTTGTTAAGTATCATGCATTTGCACCTGAGAAAGCAGTAGTAGAGCAGGCAGTGAAAAAAGGCAAGAGAAGCTTCCGGTCGAATCAATTTCTTATTTCTTTGTCATTTTAGATTTTGTTTACACATCAAAAACTTCTTAAAAGTAGATATTCATTCCTGATTGCTAGATATGTAGACCTGTATAGAGTGATATTTGGTTGACTTCAATAGTGAAGCAACACAATGAGACAAAAGAACCTAAGAAAACAATTGATTAGAATTCCGTTTTCATAGATCCAGATCTAGAAGATTCATTAGCATTCCTTTTTTATAGATAAAAATATAGATGATTGATTCGAATTTCTTTTTGATAGATCCAGATCTAGATGGTGGCCTTAGTACAATTTATGGGTTTCAATCCATCGAATTTGGATTTAATAAAATGAAGGAAAACATAACCTTTGTTTTTGGTAAATGATCCTGATGAGATGTTAAAGATAAAGTTGTTTCATCCTCTAATCTATCATGAAGAGCAGTTTGCTTTTACCTCATAGAACTTACCAGTATACTTCATCAACATAAAATTAAGATCATAATCGTCTAGACGAAAGATGAACATTGCCGTAGCTAGATGAGTTATAACTGCATAAAGTTCATTGCCGAAGAAGAAGAAGGAATCAGTGTGGAACTTTAGCAGTGAATAGTAAAAAGTTAGAAGAAATAAAATTGTTTAGGTAAAACTTCAGAGAGAAGCGTCACAAAATGTTTTAGTGCCACAAAAATGGGCTTGGTTAATGATGTTGGCCCAACCAAACTCTTTATTTTTATAGGGTTCAGGCAATATTTTTTTAACTCAACTCTACTTATATTTGATGTCTTTTAATGAGAAACATAAAATCTAAATATTTTTTTGAAATTTTTTGGTATAGTCAAATTAATATGGTACTTATCTGGGGTACGTATGAAATAATGTAACACACACTACTATTGATCCTAATTAGACATTGAAAGTATATGTATCTAACGAAGAAAAGATATGTATTTTTGATATATGCAAGTTAAGAGTATACGAATTTGGGGCAGTTAATAAAAAGAGCATAATTTAATGAAAAAATTTAAGAGTAATCCACGACTGTAAAGTCTTTCGAGGATATGAAGTATCCTAAAGCTAAATTTAATATATCAGAAAAAAATTCAAATTCTCTCCTAAATTTTGTTTTTCTCTCAGATTTTATTCTGTTTGTTCTATTTAATTCATATTCCATTTTAAATAGAGTGTATTCTTTATTTTAAAAATCATTATATCTGAGATTGAAAATGACATATGATGTGTTACATACATTCTGAAACTTGATTTTTGAAATTTTATATAATGGTTATAAAATTTGTGAAATTCTTCTAAAGGATTAAACCTCATATAATGATTTTGTTTGATTTTATTACAAAACGTTTTGAAAAAGCAAAAGAGAGAAGTTAGACTCATTTTTTGGAGAAATTCAACTCCACATGATATTAAAAAGGAGACAGAAATTGTTGTTCATCTTTTATTGCTAAGTTAGTTAGAACAACACTTTGAAGAACTTGAAAGGAAACAACAAAGTTTAAAGAATATTTTCAAAACTATAAAATTAAACTAGCGGAGAAAATAAAATCAAAAATTGATTAGAAACAACATAAACATATTTTTCTCAAACAAAGAAAATCGAGCCCACAGATTGTATAGTGTCCCTTAAGAAAATTATTTCCCTCAAGTACCCAAGGTTAACAGAATATATCCTTCCAGGATAGATCAATATAACTCACAGGTGTATCAGTACCTAAAATCACAGTGTCAGCGAACCACTCGACATCAACAAAATATACTTTGAATACCAGATTTAGTAGTAGTAGTAGAAGTCCAAAAAAAATATTAATTTCTAAAATGAGAGGAAATTCCTAAATTTATAGAATACATAATGTAGTTTTTCCGCATTCAACTTTACTTTGTCCATCCATTTAACATAAATAAATTGATTAGTTTCAGGTTTTTCAAAGAGTTTCCATGTCTCGCTCTTCCCAATCATCATTGTTTTACTTGCTTGAATTCTTCAATACAACTAGAAACTTCAAAGTTTGAACATTCCAGGATAACAAGATCACATATTCCACAAATTACTGGCAAGGTCTAGTGTCACTAACACAAAAATCAACATCGTTCTACTTCAAAGACATCATTGAATCTTCTTAAGTCAGTTCAACGCACATCCTCCTGACTTAGAGATATTCCAATACCAATATGCATCTTTCATCCACCTTCACATCTCTAATGATAGGAAATAATACAGGGCCAATTAAAGAATTAAAGATCAATCATCTCAAAGACATTCATCATTTCCTCTTGAATTCTTACTTCAGCCCTATATTATATCCTTTCAATAGTAAATCATCAACATAAAGAGAAATAATAATAATGTTAGAGACAACTTTCTTTACATAAAAAGTCAATTCACTCAAACTTTTTTCAAATTTTAAGTCTAGCAAATAATTATCCATTCAGTTATACCATATTGTCTTTAGTCCGTATTGGCTTTCTTTAACATATAAACCATATTTTCATTCCTCCGTTCGCTAAACCCTTCTGGCTGCTCAACATATATTTTTTCCTATAGTACACCATTCAAGAAAGCAAACTTCATGTCCATTTGAAAAAAAATATTCTTTGCCAGAATAGCCAAAAGCATACGGAATGTATCCAATTTTGCTATTGGAGCATAAGTTTCATGATAATGTACAACCCGAACTTGTTCATAACTTCTCACAACCAATCTAGCGTTGTGAATGTTTAGCGAACTATCTCGATTTAACTTTTTTCCTAAAAATCTATTTCACTCCAATCACTTTTCTATCTTGGGGTCTTTCCAAGAGTGTCCAAGTTTGGTTCTTTTCTATTATGGTCAGCTCCTCCTTCATTGCATTATTGAAATTTTTATTTATTTTTGCTTCCTCATATCCTGTTGGTTCAAAAAATAAGCAACATTGCATCTCTCATAAATATCATAGAGTTACTTGGTTTCTCTAATAGGTTGATCATCAACCAAGTCATCATAACCAAGTTGTGAATTATTGTTTTTAACTCGAGACTCCTCATTCCATTCCCATTGATCTTCCTCATTGAATTGAACGTGTCTACTTACCCTAATCTTGTCTGATAGAGGTTGAGAGATCATATAAGCTTTAGAAAATAAGTATAGATAATGAAGATTCCCAAATCTTCGTTCTTATGTAGCTTTTTTCTCTTAACCTTTACTACAAAAAATAGGCTAATTTGCAAAGGTTTATTTATGGAAATATTAAAAAACTCCACTATAAAATCATTTTATAGTGTTTATTTTAAACCATGGGATATAATTTTTTTTGTGACAGTTTTAATGTGGGGCCTTTTGATAACCTTCGTAAATTTCACCAATTTGTGAGGTTTTGCGACCACCAATTTATTTTAATTTTTAGCATTTTTATTGTGGAGGTTTATGATAACCTCCTAAACTTACATCAAATTGTGAAGATTTTAAAATTCCACCATTCATAGCCATTTGTTACACTTAAAAAATATTAGAATTAAACCAAAAAGAAAACATGAAAGACAGAAAACACATTAGAAAAGAAGGTAATCATGGAAAGTAGAAATACAAATGATAATGTATATTGCATGTTTAGTCAGAATGAGAAGAACAAATTAAGTTGTAAATTGAATTGTGGTATCAAAGTACAAACAATTTAGATATTTAGGTTCATATTTTTACGAGAATGAAATAATAGATGAAAATGTTACTTATTTAATATGTAATTGAATCGTTCAAATAAAATCATTATTGATGTCGTATGTGATATATATATATATATGTATGTATGTATGTATGTATGTATATATATATGTATGTATGTATACAAACACATCAAAGTAAGAGGTGAATATATATGATGATAATTACATGATAATGAGCACTTTGTAAGTAAAGTTTAATATATTTTCATGAGATAAATATTTCAAAGAAGTGGGTTTTAGATGTTTTGTTATACAAGATTAGTTAAGATTAGAAAATAACAACCTTCACCATAAGGTATTAATAGCACGTTTTGACGTTAAAATGAGATATAATTTGAGATGGTATAGGTATAATTTATTTTTAATAAGATTAAGATGTTAAGATTATTTTTACATGTGAATATAAAATATATCTTTATCTAAAAATTAAATATAAATTTATTAAAATTTGAAATTCATCTTATACTACATCAACAAAATATTATTATGTTATAAGAATATATAATGTTGTTGTGATGAAAGAAAATATTAAATAAAAATAATAAACTAAATTCACTATAATGTAATTACTATGTTATTTTTTTATATTTCTTTGACGTGAAATCACTTGTTAACGTTTTATCATTAAGTTATCAAATATGTAACTAATTATGTGAATTTTCATGAATTAAGAGTTATGTTGTTTTGTAACTTGAATATTTTAAGTGTAGTCTCTGTTAATAATGGCAAAACTCAAGTTTCTTAATGATGAGAGTTAGTTGGTTTTATGTAAGCAGCCCTCACTTCCAACCCAAAGGTTTCGAGTTCAAGTCACCAAGAGAGAAAAATTAGTAGGATGGGTTGCGAGTTCGAGTCACCAAGTGAGAAAAAGGGATGGGAGCCCCTAGGGAGGGTAAAAATAGCAATAAAAAAAAGAGTAAAACCCCTTTCAAAAATAATAAATAAGATATTTAGACTATATTGTGTGAGTTATAAAACCCTTTAGAGTGTAGTTATTCAAGTTCCAAAATTATTTTCATGGGGTTACGCATTACCACAAATTGATTTAGAAAACCACCTCAAATTTCAAAATCAATTTGTGGCGGACGTAATGGAGGCTCTATTAAACCAGCACAAATATGCTCTTGGCATAGGTAATTATGGCAGCTTCTAATGTTGGTCCAAAACTCCCACAAATTTATGGAAAAAAAACTCAACAAAATGACCCTTTTAGTAGTTAAGAAAAATAGATACATTCAAATATCTTGAGTTATTCCAAAATAGGTTTGACATTATACCATGCCTCAAATAAAGTATTTTCTTCCACTGCCCGCGTAGGCTTTCTAATCAACAAGACAACATCAGTTATTGTTGCTTCAACCCAAAACTTCTTTGGTAGATACTTCTCCTTCAATAAGTATCTCAACATCTCAATGATTGTTATACTTTTTCCCTCACTCACTCCATTTTGGTGTCGAGAATAACGGACAGATAGGATGGTGCTCAATTAAAGCTGGATCACAAAAAGAATAGAACTTACTGAGGTATATTCAGTTACATTATCGGACCTAATGACCTGAATCTTCCAGCCTTGATTTTCAATCCAAGCTTTCAACTTAATGATAATTCCAGCATCTTCAGATTAAAACTTCATAAAATAAAACCAATAAATTCTTGTCAAATCGTCAATTAAGATAACATAATACTTGCTGCCATTAAGTGATGGAGTTCTATGTGGACCGCAAAGATCGATGTGAATGAGTTTCAACTTTCTATGGCTCACCAAGTTAAATTTTTAAATGGATATCTAGTATGTTTTCCAAGAATGGAAGCCTTACAATATGAGGAATTCTCCTCAAAGTTTGGTAAACCATTTACCATTTTTCTCCTTTGATAAACAATCAAGCTTTGTGAGTGAAATACCCCAACCTTTTGTGCAATGTTTCTGCTACATTTATTTGGCTTGTCAAAATCTATGTATT